TGGAATCTGCTATGCTCTCCTATGTGGTCTCTTACCTTGGAACCCCCAGGCGGGACACGCTCCCTTCTCCAGCTTTATCTTATCATTAAAACAAAAGAACAATCAAAGTACTCTCAGTTCCTATGACAGGACAAGCAGGAAAGTGTAAAGGTGAAGCAGTTGCATAAGCACTTCTGGAACTTCCATGTAAGTGTTTCTTTCTTTTTGCTTTTTCGAGACATGGTTTCTTTGTGCAGTCCTGGCTGTCCTAGAACTCACTCTGTAGACCAGGCTGGTCTTGAACTCACTGAGTGACAGTATTAAAGAAACCTGCCACCAAAAGGGCTGTCACCTGTTTTCTTAAAGGCTGCCATTGTGATTACAATTAGATGGAATCTCGAAGTAATTTGAATTTCCTGAATGACGAATGTCTCCATTTCTTTTCTTGTTGCTGTGACAAACTATCAGGGAAAAAAATTTAAGGGAGGAAGGATTTATTGTGGCTCACAAATGAAAGATTTCGGTTGAGGAAGACATGACAGCAGGAGTGTGAGGCAGCTAGTCACACTGCGTCCCAATCAGGAAATAGAGAGACAGGGCTGATGCCCATCTGTCTTTCTCCTTTTTGTGCAACCAGGACTCTGTCCACAAAATGATGCCTCCCAGGCATTGGGTTTTAATTAACCGAATCTAGGTAATCCTTCACAGTTGTGTCCAGGGTGGTGATTTTAGATCCTGCCAAATTGACAATCAATATTAACCATCACAGCTAGTGAGATTGAATGTTTCTTTTTTCATGTATTTAATGGCCATTTGTACTTTATCATTCGAGAGAAGTATCTGTTTATTTAATCGACTGAGTTGTTTGATTTCTGTAGCGTTTTTCCCCCCCAATTCTTTGTGTGTATTAAGCCTCTGTCAGCCGTGCAGCTGGCAAAGACTTCCTCTCATTCTTCAGGCTGCCTTTTCACTTAGTTGTTTCCTTTGCAGAAAGTTTTCTTCATTTTACGAATCCCATTTGTCAGTAGTTAGGCTTATTTCCTGAGCAAGTAGAGTCCTGCTCAGGAATCATTGCTTATGCTTGAAGTGTTTTATTTTTCTCGTGACAGTTTCAGAGTTTCAAGTATTATATTATTAACTCTGAGCCACTTGGCGTTGACTTTTGTACAGGCTAACAGACAGGGATCTAGCTTCATTCTTCTTTATATGGATAGCCACATCTTCCAGCATCATTTGATGAGGAAACTGGCCTTTCTCCAATGCATTGTTTTACATCTTTATGATCAGTTGGCTATATTTACATGGGTTATATCATGGACCTCCATTCTATTTCATTTCTCTTCATGTCTCTTTTTGTGCCATTAGCGTGCTTCTTTTGTTCGTATCACTCACTATATGGTATAAGTTGAAATCAGTTTTCATGATATCTACGGCATTGTTTTTTTATGTTCAGATTGCTTTGACTATCTAGAATCTTTTGTGATTCCATTACTGTCCATCCATTCCTTTGAGACTGGGTTGCAAATTGGTTGCCTGCAACTAGGCTGGCAACCAGCAAGTCTCAGTGATCCTCCTGTCTCTGTCCCTAACAATGCTAAGGTTATGGACACATGCACAGCCATGCCTCACATTTTTTTTAAAGTATAGGTTCTGAGGATTCAACCTTAGGTCCTTTTCTTATTTATCAAGTGTTCCTACCCATTGAACAATTTGTTTGGCCACTAAGATATTTTTAAGACAACTGAAAATGGGGTTTTTTCTTGATTTAATTCTCAACATGTTTGTTATTTGTATATATAGTGGTTTTTGTGTGTTAATTTTGTATCCTGCCATTTTGCTGCAAGTACTTGTCAAATCTACGAGTTTTCTGATATAATCTATTATGTATATGTATAAAATCATATCATTGCACATAATGATAATGTGACTTCTTCCTTTCCTATCTGTATCCCTTTTATTTCCTTCTCTTGCTGCTTTAGCTAAGACTTATAGTAAATAAGATATATTCAAGATATATATTGAAGAAAGTGCCCACACCTTATTCCTGATTTTAATAAAAACACTTTTAGTTTTTTTTTCCCATTAGTATAATGTTGATGATAGGGTTGCTGGTATAGCTTTTATTATGCAGAGATATGTTCCTCCTACTCTTAGTTTCCTCAGGACTTTTATCATGAAGGGATATTGGATTTTTTTCAAAATACTTTTCTGCATCAATTGAGATGATTGTGTGATTTCTGTCCTTGATTAAAAACTAGGGGCTGAGGATATAACTCAGTGGTAGAGAATATATGCACATGGATTATGTGCAAGGTCCTAGATTTAATATCTAGAATGTTAAGACAAACTAACAAATATAAATCAGGCTTAACACTCATGAAGCCCACGGTACATTCCTTAGCACCACATAAAATCAAGCATTGTGATACCTGCACTTTGGAGATAAGAACAGGAGAATCAAACGTTAAAGGTTTTGGGAGGTGGTGGGATTAAAGGCAAACACCACCAAATTTCTGCAGTCTGAGATCAGCTTGATCTACAGAGTGAGCTCCAGGACAGCCAGAACTATCATATAGAGAAACCTTGTCTCAGAAAACCAAAACAAAAAATAAGTTCAAGGTTATCTTCAACTACAGAGTGAATTCAAGGTCAGATTTGGCTATGTAAGATATTTCAAATGAGAAATGTCCCCTGTAGTCTAGAGCATTTTTTTATGAAGCTGGTATTACCCTGATTCCAAAACCAGATGAAGATATCACAAAAATAAAAAAGAAAATTGCTGATGGCTAACTAGTCTTCCTGATGAACACAGATGAAAATGCGAACTGAATTCAACATCACATCAAGAAGACCACCTATGGCAACCAAACTGGCTTCATTACAGAGATAGAGAGATGGTTCAATGTATTTTAGTAAAATCAGTAAATGTTATTCAGCACATAGGCTAAAAGACAGAAGTCACATGATATCTAAGTAGATGCAGAAAAGGCATTTGACAAAATTCAACATCTATGATAAATAATATTTATGTGAGACACAGTTTACAAAACAAGGTAAAATTCAGCATCAAATATGCCATGTTTTGTTGATACTTATGCGAGACCTGCCTTTTCCTAAATAGAAACAGAAGAGGAGTGGATGGGGAGGCAGGGGCCTGGGGAACTGGAGGTAGAGGCTGGCAGGAGAAGAGGAAAGTGTGGCCAGAGTGTATTTTTAAAAGTAAGGATTTTGTTTGTTTGTTTCTTTGTTTTTCTTAATCTTTATGTTCCTTTATTGGAGTAAGATTCCTGATGTATACAGTTATGTATTTACTAAACAGAGTCTTGTGCGGAAATTACACACTGTCCATCTAGACAGATTTTACTGCAGTAGTTCCATTTATAAAGTTTTATACATCTGAAAAAGTGGCATTTAATTTTAACTCTATTTTACATTAAAAAGCTTATGCATCAGGTAGCTTCCCAAACCATTACTCTCTGCACAATGGTGTTGAGCAGATAAGAGCACTTTATCCACCCAGATTTGTTATGAGCAGTTTTCCTGCCGGTCTGGTCCCAAAGCCACACCAGCCCCAAATATAACACAGAGACATTGTATTAGATATAATGTTGTTGGCCTGTTACTAACATTTTTTTTTATTGGCTAGCTCTGTCTTAAATGTTAACCCATTTCTATTAATCTAAGGTATTTCCAAGTAGTCTCATCTTACTGGAGAGAAGGCCCGGACCTCTGCTCTCTCAAGTCTCTACATGCTGACTCCTCCCTACTCCTTCTGGAATTCTCCTTGTCTCCTATTCCCACCTATCTTGCTTTCCTATTGGCCAACAGTTCTTTATTCATTAACCAATAAGAGAAACATATTTACAGAATGACATCTCCCATCACAGATTCACGGTCACATCTGAGAGCTTCTGCTCTCATACCTGTGATAGAGCACTCCTGACCACCCCATGGACTGCATACTTTGACAGCCCACTTTCTTGACCAGTTCACACTGCCAATGTAGACATGTCAGCAGCTGTCTTTCATACAAATGTCATAGAGTAACAGGTCTGTGACATGGTAAGAGGAGGTACTGACATAATATCCAGGTAACTAAAGGCCCATTTAAAAAATGCCAAATTGAGACAAAAATCAAGAGTCCAAGTCCATGGCAGCAAACTATACCCCATCACCCAGTTATGAACATTAAGACATGGTTCATATCCCTTTAACTCAGTCTTAGCCCTGAGGTCATCCTGCAAAGTGCGTATCAAAAAAAAAAAAAAAAAAAAAATACCAAGTTAGGGAGACAGAGTTTGACATGTCATTATGCAAGTCAAACTTGGAAGGTCACATTGAGCATCTGCCCTGACAGAAAAGCATCTAGTCCTTTGTGTACACATTGGTTTTATTGTAACAAAGCAACTTGTATCTTCAACATTTAAAAATGAGCATATTTTTCCTCCCAGTGAAAACCAAAAACTTAAAAATAAAGTTACAACAGAGAATGTCAATTCCAAATAAAACCCTACAGGTTCTGCTGATTCCCCCATTGAGTGGCAGGGCTCAAGTCATCATTAGGAGAGAATTTTATTTTAAAAGTGTCACCTTAAACTGCAAGGATGTCTGTTAAACATCACAATTAAACATACCAAAGGAGAAGCCATGGTGTCACAATGCCCACTTAACCCCCCAGACACCTCAAACCCACCCTTGCTGACTTTCTATATCCGCCTTTTTTTTTCTTTTTATTAAACTAGAGAAAGTAGACAGATATGTGTTGGTAAATGCTGTCTGTGTTCACATAGAGACACAGTGTAATCTCTGAGCCCAACATACAGAGAAAGGAAAAAAGCTAGAATTCTATGCACTACTACACAGGTGCCTAGCACCCCCGCCCCCCCCCCAGCCTCCAGCAGAGCTCAAGGAGCCAGAGGGGTTTTCTTTTTTCCCCACAGAGCACGTTAGTGGTGTTGAATCCATAATTTGAAACAAGGATTAAAAAATGAATTTAGAATAAAAGAGTGGAGATTCTTTTCTCATTGTATTTTGCTCAAGATATTTTCCTCCACATAAGTTGAGAACCAGTTGATTTCAGTGGACTTTGACAATGGGTCACCACTCTCATTCAGATGGAATTCTTTGGAGAGAATTTTATTTTCAAAGTGAGGATTTTCATCAAAATAAAAATCTATTTTGTAACCTGATTTAATGTCTTTAAATTCTGTCACTTCAACTCTGGTCAAATAATGCAGAGCCTCTATGTCTTCCTCCCCAAGCAGTGCAGACACTTGTGAATGGTTGACAAATGTTGTTACCCCAAAATTTGGGATTTTGGCGATCAATTCTGACCTCTTCTGAAGAAAATGGCTGGTGGACTTTGTTATATTTTCGTTCTACTTTCAAAATCCCCTCGTTGGCTTGTTCATTAAATCTGTCTATTTCATTTTGTTCTTCGTCAATGTGTTCCATTGCTTCTTGCTGTTCTTTTAATGAGGTTTCGCCAGCCCCGTCGTCATAGGAGTTGAGCTCCATTTTACAGGTTTTGGCGGTCAGCGCCAACGTGGTTCCCTCCTCGGTCCGGGAGGAGAGCGGGGAGGGGGAGCGAAGCCATCGCCAAGGAGGCGGCCAGCGGCTTCCCCTCACACCACACGTTCCCCTCACAGCACACGCGCTTGCCCCCGCCTCCTCCTCCCCCTCCCGGCGCTCTCTTGCTCGCCCTCCCCCTGACTGACTGGCGCTGCCCACGGGGCCTGACACTGAGGCAGGCCCGGGCGCGTTGCCGCGGCCCCAGCCCAGGCTCTCGCTGAAGGCGGGAAGGCGGCGGCAGAGGCTCTGTCTGGTGGCAGTGGCTGTGGCGGAGGCGGCGGTGGCGGGGAGGGAAGGGGGGGTGCGGCTGGACTCCTTGACGTGTCTCGTGCTCTGACTAGCTTCTCGGTGTAATAAGTTTATTTTTAAAATGAAAATATCAACATCAGAAACTGAGCGTCTGAAGTACTGTGCCTCCTAAGGGCTGACCTTTTTTCCCTTACAACCTTGCCCAACCCTTGCCAAGGAGCCAAGCCAGCTGCACAACCCCTCAGTCTCCAAAAATTCCTCATCCCCCCAGCTCTGACCAAAGAGGGTGAGAGCCAGATGAGCCTAGGGCACTGGGACAGATGCTACCACAAGTCACCAGGTGGGAAGTGGTCCATCCTAGGAACAGTCAGATCCTTTACAGCAGCCACATAAGGAATGGAGAACCCATCAAAAAAAAAAAATCTCTCCCAGGATGCCAACCTAAAATAGATTAGACCTAAGCAAGGGTTGACTGCCCTGAGGACAGTTGTACAGGCATGTCACCTTCTTGTACTGGGCAACTGCCCAGTACCAAGAAATATCCCACTAGGGCTTCCTTACCGCTTATCTACCAAAGATCCTTAAACTGAGGCCATTCTATTACCTCTTTCATTCCTCCAGCCAATCAGAGTGGAGCTTACAAAAGCCACTGGGGAGATCTAGGAAGCAGAAGACAGAGAGTGGGTCACCAGAGAGACACCATGTACCAAGGACAAAAGAGACCCAAGCATCACAGGCATTTGGTTTGCTTGTATACTGTGTACTACTTGCATGCCTGGTGCCAGTAGAAGTTGTTGTTGGACCCCCTGAGATGAATTAAGATGGAAATGAGCCATCATGTGGGCATTGGGTATTGAACTGTGGTGCTCTGGAAGAACAGACAGTTTAACTGTTTAGCCCCCTCAAGCCCTTGTCCCAGAAGTCCTTAAACTGAGACAGAACTCAGAAAAAGTATGCCCTGTTGCCACATAAAGGACACACCCAGAGATTCTAGAAGGTTCTTTGTGACTTGACAGTTGAAGCAGGGTTGTAAAAAAAAAAACAAAAAAATCTGAGACCGGGTGGTGGTGGCGTACATCTTTAATCCCAACACCCAGGAGGCAGAGGCAGGTGGATCTCGGTGAGTTTGAGGCCAGCCTGGTCTACAGCGTGAGTTACAGGACAGCCAGGACTGTTATTCAGAGAAACCCTGTCTCAAAAAACAAAAATAAACAAGCAAAAGAAAAATCTGAGAATGGCGAGTTTTTCTACAATCCATGTTACCCGCCTACCCAGACAGCTTCCAGTAACGGCTCTGGTGGCAATTCTACCCGAAAAGTTTATAAGGGGCAGGATGCAAAGAGGAACTCCCTACGGACCAATCAGAGTATAGTGTTCAATGACGTCACTCGTGGGCGACCAATAGGAATGCAGTGGGCTCTATAAAAGCCGAGCCCACAGGGCAGTCTGCGCACTTCGGGAGAGGAGAAGAGAGCTTCAGAAGAAGAGACCTTCGAAAGAAGAGACCTTCGAGAGAAGAGACCTTCGAGACGATGGCACGCACCAAGCAGACAGCGCGAAAGTCGACTGGAGGCAAGGCTCCACGGAAGCAGCTGGCCGCGAAGGTGGCTCGCAAGAGTACACAGGGTACTGGCACCATGAAGAAGCCACACCGCTACCACCCGGGCACGGTGGCGCTTCGCGAGATCCGTCGCTACCAGAAGACCACTGAGCTGCTGATTCGCAAGCTGCCGTTCCAGCGCTTGGTGCGGGAGATGGCCCAGGATTTCAAGACTGACCTGCGCTTCCAGAGCTCGGCTGTGATGGCGCTTCAGGAGGCCTGCGAATCCTACCTCGTGGGGCTATTCGAAGACACCAACCTGTGCGCCATCCACGCCAAGCGGGTGACCATCATGCCGAAAGACATCCAGCTGGCTCGTCGCATTCGCGGAGAACGGTCTTAAGACTTCACAGGCTCCTGATCTTTGCACTATATTGAACCCAAAGGCTCTTTTCAGAGCCACCTACAAAGTCTGAGAAAGTGGTTGTAACCATGTACGGAAATTTGAAACCCGTTCTGGTTCTGTGTGGAGATCAGAACTGCTGGCTGAAGAGTCCAGTGAACTAGTCAGGCTTAGCCTCGGACCATTTCCCATTTAAGCTGTTTGGTCCGCAATTCCGTTCTGACTTGACTAGGCCTTTGCCTGAATCCTTGTAACACAAGGTTGTAGTGGTGACTGGCCCTGCCTAGTAAAGAGTTAAGCTTCCACAAGCAGCAAATGCACTGTCACAACTATGGTGTGTGTTTGCATGGTGTGCCAACTGGAAGTCTGCATTAACTCCTCCAGGTATTTAAATCCCATTATTAGAAGTCCCACAAATCTTACACTTTGATTTAAAAGGCTTGCTACTCCTGTGTGTTAAAAGTTAGGCATTCTATGATGGAAAGCACAGTGAACTGTGTTGTATTAAACTCTAGTCTGCTTTTTTTTTTTTTTTTAATCCCCTGGGACATGGTAAGAGGGAAGATCCCTGGGAGTGTGGGACTCAGGAATGTGGCCTCTACCTGACAGTAGCTTACAGAAGATGGCTCCAGTCTGGAGCAAGAAATAAAGGTTTGTAGATCCCTGGGGTCTCTTGCCAGTACAGGAAGGCAATGTTTGCAACTGATTCTAAAGCCATACACATAGCCAAAGCTTCCCCTGCAAGTGACTGAGTTCCTCCAACTCCTGTTGTGGCAGTTTGTCTGTGGGCCATCAAGGATTGATAGAAATGTAGGACAAAGTCCATAAACATAAGTTGCACAGATACCATGATTGCTGTGGTGGGCAGGCTTTGGAAGGCTGCTGTGATGTGGCAGAGGATGGTATGAGGGAGGTTGGAAGCTAAACTAGGGGAGACAGTCAGTCACAGGGAGCACCTGGGACATATGTACCACAGGAGCTGGTTTGCCCATGGGTGCCCCAGTGGGCACAAACTTGACCCAAACCACAAGAACAACTCTGTCAAGGGAGAGAAAGGTACCCAGGACAGGGGAGAAGTCCTAGGCCAGCTCCACATATCTGTGGAGTCCTTGGTGTGGTGGACTGGTGGACAGAGTTGAGATTGTAGATGTTACTCATGGCTCCAATATAGGGCAGCAGACATGTGGGGACTATGAGTACAAGGAGGTGCCCAGCTACGAACAGTGGTGCAGGCCTTCCAGGTCATTGGCAGGCCTGGTGTGTATTTATGATTGATCTCCAGCTGTACCTCCATCCCGGGCACCATAGTGAAGCCTAGCAGCAGAGCAGATGTGTGACTTAGCCTGGATGAGGTTAAGTGGTGTGTCAGCTGAGCGCCCGCAGAGAGCACTGACTGGTCCCCCCCCATAAGGTCCAGGTAGCCTCAAAGCACAAACTCCTTGAACATGGCAGAACTTGCCAGCTTTCTACCTCTGGATTCATCAGGACATGTTTGCCCTGGTTCCCCTGTATCCCTTCATTCTGAGAGTGGCTCCACAACCAATGACAACCATCAGGCCACAAAGGAGCCAAGCAACAATGTGACTACATCCTCCGTAGCCCAGCAGCTCCAGCCAAAAAACATTTTCATTACATAAAAAATACTACATAGCCAGGCGGTGGTGGCTGGTGGCACTTAATCCCAGCACTCAGGAAAGCAGAGGCAGGCAGATCTCTGTGAGTTCAAGGCCAGTCTGGTCTACAGAGGGAGTTCCAGGTTAGCCAGAGTTACACAGAGAAATACTGTCTCAAACAACTACAACAAAGAAAACAAACACACAACTACTACAGAAAAAAAAATCTTGCATGGTAGAATATTATTTTAAGGTGTACGACTTTTGTTTATGCTGTATTTCTTTAACTCTGTGAAGCTGTGGTTCTTTGCCTGTCTAAAACACTGATGGTCTAATAAAGAGCGGAACAGCTGGCCAATAGGGAAGCAGGAGCAGGGATAGGCAGGGCTGATAGGCAGAGAGTATAAATAAAAGGAGAACTAAGGAAAGGGAGGAGCAAGGAGTGAACAGTGTGGGGAGGATGTTAGGGGCAAGCTGCCCACACACCCACACACCCAGCCAGCCATGGAGTAAAAAGGAAAGTAAGATTACAGTGTGATGTTTTACTCTTTTGGCTTTATGTGGGGCCTGCCATCCCGCTCCTAAATAAATCACACATGGAGGCTTATTCTTAGTTTAAATGACCAACCTTTGCTTGCCTTGTTGCTAGCCAGCTTTTCTTATCTTAAATTAACCTTTCCCCTCTGGGTTTTTATCTTTCTTACTTCTTTTGTATATCTTGGAAACACTAGGAATGGAGGGAGCATACCTCAGTATAGTAAAGGCTATGTATACAAGCCTATGACCAACATGGGAAATGGAGACCATCTCAAAGTGTTCCCACTAAGATCAAGAACAAGAGTGTCCACTATTCTTACTCAATGTAGAGCTTAAAGTTAGCTAGAACATAAAACCAGAGGAGGAAATAAACAGGATACAAGTAGGAAAAGAAGACAGAAGACATCTCACATGATTCTTTACATAAGAAAGTAAAAAAAAAACTTATACAGTTGTTAAAACTGTTTCAAACTGCTTTGGTAAAGTGAGAGGATATAAAAATATGAATACACATAAATCAGTAGCCTTTCTATATAGCAATGACCAACAATCTGAAAAAGAAATCAGGGAAACCGTCCCGTCCCAGTCACAACCCCCAATGACAAAGTACAATACTTAGGAATAAACCTAACCAATGAAAAGAAAAGCCTCTACAACGAAAACTTGAAGACACTGGAAAAACGATTTGAAGAAGGCACCAGAAGATGGAAAGCCTTCCATGCTCATAAATTAAAACAATTTTGTGAAAATGGTCAGCCTAACAAAAAGCAATTTACAGATTCAATGCAGCCTCAATCAAAATTCCAGGCCCATTCTTCTCAGACACAGAAAAACTAATCTTAAATTTATATGGTGGGACCCTAGAAATGGAGCTGGAACAGAGAGATGGGACCATGGCAGCCATGGGCTTTGAAGAGTTCTCAGCGCCGCCAGGCTCAGAGCTTGCTTTGCCACCTCTGTTTGGAGGCCCCATCCTAGAGAGTGAGCTAGAGACAGAAATGGAGTTTGTGTCCTGTGGTCTGGGTGGTTCAGGACTCCGAGAGAAGGATGAAGAGGAAGAGGCAGCCCAGGGTTGCAGGAGTCGCCAATAGGGACTAAATAGAAGAAAGTACCAGGCTCTAGGCCGGCGCTGCCCGGAGATCGAGCCTTGAACAGGCTCCATGAGGTACAAAGGATAACTCGGAGACTCCAGCAGGAGCGCAGGTTCCTCATGAGGGTGCTGGACTCCTACGGGGATGCCTACCGGGCTAGCCAGTTCGCCGT